CTTGCTTAACTTTATGGCTAATGGAAAAGAGAACAAGGCCATCATCTCACAAATGCTCTGACAAGTGTTGGCCTGGAAGTTCCCTGAGGTTGATACAACAGGGGTGGTTCTCAAATTTAAATGGATAACTGACCTCTGAATTAATCAAACTCTTATCTTCATCTTGATTTCCCATGATGATGGCTGATAGGAATCATCAGAAGACTTTAAAGTACTTGTTGTCTCTTTGGCATTGTACAACCACTATAAACATCATCGAGCTATTGTTCAAAAAGACTCAATAGCTTTGAATGAAGAGCTACAGAAATATGAAGACTTTGTGATAGTAACATTTGTTGGAATCCTGACTCAACAAGCAAGAGCCTATCCAATCATATACTGCAGACACAGTATATTTTTAGATGTGTCAAGGAATTTTCCTCAACTCATTAGAAACGCAAATGAAATTTCAAAGTCCTGGAAGGCCCTGATTTGTTCTGGACTGCCTTTATAGACTGTTGTCCAGAACATGAGGTTCAACCAGCGGCTATGTGAATACCAGTTACTACAGTGACCTTTTTATACTGAGCGGTATGGGAGGTGTAATGGGGTCAGTTAGAGCAGTCAGGAGGGGCATGGCTTATACTGTTTGCCTTCTCTATCAAGTTCAAGAGGCTCTAGCATCAAAAATATATGGTTTCAAATCCTACCTCTGACACTTACTAGCTGTGTGATTTTGGGCAGGTAAGGTAACTGCTCTGAGCCTTCATGTCATCATCTTTAAATTGGATTTATAACACCTCATAAAGTTGTGGTAAGCATTAAAATGCCAGAAATGGATATTACAATTTTAAAGTAACATGCTAGTTAAGTATCTTTAACAAATTAAAGCACTCAGCACAGTACCCGGCATAAAGTAGGCATTCATCAACTGTTAGTTCCCTTTCCCTAGATATCCACCAAGTCACATTTTATGCACAAAGGGATGAGTCTTCTATGTGTAGGGAAGACTGAAATTCTATGTAGTCCTCTACTGGGTTACTAGAAACAGTTAGGGTTGTTGGAATACAGTCACAACTGGCTTATTATTTGAGTGGATAGATAAGAAAGCCATGTAGGGTCAGAACTAGAAATCAATGAGCAGAAAGCAGGTTAAAATGGACCCAAGAATCAAAGCCAATACCAGGAGTGATACCCATAATTTAGAGCATGAAATGCTGAAAGGTATAGTGGAGATCAGTGATGCGTATCATGGAATGGATAGCAAGACATATGCACCAAGATAGTTCTATTGACTCTGCTAAATGGCCTACCTCACTCCTGGGACTTTTGTTTTGAAAATGTGGGCAGTGTCTCTTGCCCCAAGGTGACTTTGAAGGTCCATGACACTATATTCACTTGAAAGTTTTCCTATTCTCTTGGCCAAGTGAGGTCTGGAGCTTTACAGGAAAGCAGTAAAACGTGGACACAAATACAGGAAGCTGTTAAGATATGACACAAGCTCCCAGAGCCCACCCAAGGGCATGAAGTGTTAGATTTTGCCAAGATTCTGGTAGAAATTCTGTATAGCCTAAATACTCTATTTTGTTTCATAGATGACTATTGTCATAGGCAAGATGGTGTTGTGGGGGGAAGAGGATCTTCCAGAGCCCAGAAAAAGGTGATATTTGCTTTATCATCATGGAAAGAGGTAAGGACAATGACACAATGGACCCTATGTGCTGTCAAGTTCCTGGGAAAACCAGACAAAATGGAGGTGTTGAGAGTGAGGCCAACCATACATACCTCTCTCTTTAAATGTGCTTTCCAGGGGCTTTTATCTACAGTTAAGAATCAATGTCTTCATCCATGGGAGTATACTCTGATGGTCAGATTGAGTTATGTGGTGTACAAAGCAATTGCTTATGACAGGTACCAGGGTGCTGGATGTGAGTGGAGGTAAGTGTAGAAAATGAAAACCATAGACACTGAGAATTTTATTACAGCTGTAGGCAAATGAAAGTGATAAAGAGGAGGCTGGCTAACTGTTGAGGCAAGGCCCCAGGGAGGCTAAACTTCAGTGGACTCACTATGGTTCGTACTGTGGTCTTGACTTTGCAGTCAGAAACTCATTTTTTCATTGTGCTAACAGGGGATTATAATCAGGAGGACTGACTATATTAAAATCCACAAGAAACTGATGTGTAAGCCAAACACCAATTTATTAATTTATAACAAGAATTAACTGCCAAGTAGGCTAGAACACGCACATGAGCTGGTTAGCAAATTCTCTTCACATAACAAAGTTTTTATGGGAAACTAATTACAATCTGATTATTTGTAGAGAATGGGTTCAGAGCAGAGGCGACAGATGATCATTTTAATGTCTAATGACACAAATTGGGATGGTCTGGTGCCTCCATCTCATTGCAGGAGGTGGCCCTGCCAAATGGTCTGCTGGCCAACATCTCTTCTCTGAGTCTGGACAGATTACTGATGGCTCTATGGCTCTTTAATTTCCCCCTTTCCTAGACTCCATGCAGACCATTCCCTTGTTAACAATTCCTTCTTTAGACTCACCATAAAATGATTAGATTCTTCCTTGCTGAGTGGCATCAACCATGTAGTAGTTCTGCCTCCCGAAAACTACAACCCTGTTTGGACTTGGGGGTTACCCAAGTTTTTGCAGTTGCAGACTACATCCTTGAGTAGATTACATCTCGTTTGTTCTCTGTAGATTCTAATGAGTTTCACTTTCAGAGAAATTCCCTTAGCTATGAGTTCTGAGGACACACCCTTGTAACTCTCTTTATGCTAAGTAATGATTTCATTCTAGTTGAAGTGGATGGTGGCACTATAGCAAAATTTTGAAGCAGTAAACAAAATGGTTGCTAACTAGAAGGCAGTAAAGCATTATCCCAGCATCCTATGCATATGCTCAGTCTGGCTGTTGGATTGTATCACATAGAACACAGGTGGTCCTTAATTAGAAATGCCTCAACAAGTGGCCTCCACAAGTGGGAGGTAAACTGAAGTTCACAGTCTGGGATTACCTGTTCTAGGAGGCTATGAAGTCTGAAGATCTCTTGGGGAAGAAGGCAATGTTGCTACAGTGGGAGGATCTAAACAGGAAATAAGGTGATACATCTTTGTGGGAGAGCCCACAATAATAAATTGTGGCTCTAGGATAAGAAATGATTGGTGATCAAGCCAACTGACTGTTCCTATTACCATTCCAGGACCATAAGGGATTGGTAAGGAACATGGCTGAAGGCCATTAGGTTAGCCATTTTTTATAGAATTGGTGGTGATAGATTAGGTTACCTCCAGATAATCTCAGAGTCACTCAAACAGATCTACCTGGTGGAGGATCTCATACAATTGGAATACGTGCACTCAGGTCTCTCTGTTGTGGGAGCACATGGGGTAATGTGGATGTATAGCAAGCTGCTGATAAAGGAGACCCCTTGTAAATGCAAATAAAGGTTGGTACAATGGTCAGTGAGGCACTGATGGGTGAAAAGTTCTGTTTGTTAGTGCTACGGGACAAGGTTCTAGCCAGGTTTAAGCATTGTCAAAGTAAGCACAATTTTCCAGGAACAAGGACACAGTACATTGGCACTTCATATTCTGAGAGGCCTTGATGGCTGCTGGGGACTATGGAATGACTGGCCGTCTTTCAGAATATCCATGATAGGGCATACATGAACACCAAGAAGTAGGGAACAAGAGCATGTAATAACCAGCAAACACAGATTATCACTATATGTTCTTAACATTTTAGGGAGCTGTTCCTTTCTAGAACAGCACTACTTTTGTTTAGAAGCATCAGCAACCCATACACAGAGCTGATGTGTGCCAAGAGCACAACACTAGCAATCAAACCCCCACGTCTTGCATTTTGTGCACAGGTGGTATTAATGTATGTGGCCAATGATTTTCTAGATTAGATGGCCAAGAAAGTTTTCTGTTATTCATTATTTTTCAAGATATTCAGCTAAATGAGGATCCACAAAGGTGGTCCATAAGAGTAGTGATCCTAGATGTGACCACAGTGAGGCCCCTAGGGCCAGGTTCCTTGTACAAGGTAGCAAGGACATGTTGTAGAAATAGTAATTATAATAGGAAACTTGATCAACTTTTCACTAAATACCTGTCAGAGGTCACCATCCTAGCCCATATTGACTTGGCCATGAGATACACCAGCACAAGAAGGGCTCTTGGGGGAGAGAGGAGTAAGCAGGGATTGGCAGGGCTTGGCTAAAAGAATGTACCTGCCTGAAGGGATAGCTCTTAAGGAAGGGGACCAACAGTTCCAGGCAGAGTGTTCAAAGGGCCATAGTAAACTCACATCTAATCTGGTTTTTCGATAGCCAAGTGGTTCGGTTTGTTGAGCAAGCAAGTCTTTAGATGGCAGCAAAATACATAGCTGTGAGAAAAGGTGGCAGAGCTGTGGTTCCAGGAAGGTTGGTTTGGGTTGAAGTTGAATGTCAGTCAATAGCTAGAGTTACAAGGGGCAGGATCCAGCCCTTAGGAAGAAAGAATTGGCAGGATATGGGAAGGGGATTAGGACTGCAGCCAAAGGTCACAAACCAACAGAGAACTGGGAATATGACCGAGAGTTAGGATGAAAAGCTTGTGCTCAGTCCTAGGCACAGAAGGTACAAGACTTGGGCTGACAAACTCAACCCAAATTCCACCCATTGGTGGAGATGGTGTTCCTAATGCACTGCTAGTCTTGTTCATTAGCTCAGACTGGGCAGAGTTTTGCCTGCAAGCTTTCAGTATTCTTGGATCAGTCCCAACTGTGGAGGGTGCCTGTGAGTTGTTTTCATCATTTTGTGAGCTCAGGTTTGGTTTGAAGGGTCAGTTTCCAATGAACAAGGCCTGGTTGTTTAAGTTCCCAGAAGCACATTAGTTCACGACTGTAAAGTCGTATCACAGTTCCCCACCTGTATTTTAAAAGTTAGTGCAGAATACAAATTAGTAAGGCTGGAGGTGAGAGGGATATAAGTTTGAAAAATAATCTTCCTGGGCTCCTCTTACTGGTGAGTTGGGTTATTTGACCTTGCTGGGGCTCGAGAACGTTTGGCGAGGCAATCTTTTGTGAAGTGGCCAGGCTGGCTGCAGTAGAGGCAAAACTGGGTTTCTTGCTGGCGGGCTCGCTTGGCTGGTGTGAGAGGCAGCTGGCCTCCCCGCAGCTGTGTAGGCTCTTCCTTGGCTGGTGGACCTGTGGGACTGGAGAGATATTGGTGGTGAACCAGGGAAGCCAGCCTTGGAAGCTGTGCCTCTGACTGTAGGAGCTCTGGCCTGTCACTACGTTTCCTGTCCAACTGAATGCACTGAGTAATCAGGTCTGGGAGGTTTTCCATCATATCTGTACCACTCACTTCATCCTGGATGGGGTCAGCCAGTCCCTCTTGGAGCTGGTCACTCAGAATGGTTTTATTACAGCTGATATTTTCAGCAAGGAGCTGGAAGGTGGTAGCGTACTGTTGAAAGGAGTCATTCCCTTTGTCAAGTTTAGCATTCACCAGAGGGTTCATTTCCTGTTTTGTGGGCTCACCAAATGACTGCTGGAACTCAGAAACAAAGTTCTCATATTGTTTCAGCAGAGTACTCTGGTCAGACCCAGGTAGGATCCTACATCTTTCCACCTGCTGAGATATATAGTCAAAAAAAAACTTGACCTGGACATCATCTGCAGGGTTAGGGGTCTTGAGAGCTGTCAAGTAGGTAGTTGCCTGAGCAAGAAACCCTGAGAGATTGGCAGGGTCAACATGAAACTGGCTGGGATGCTCAAGTGAGCAGGATACAGGCATCATTGGGGTGGCCAAGGTAGGCATGACTTGACCCCTTAGAGCAGTACTGTCGTCAGTCAGGTGCTGCACTTGTGGCTCTAGAATCAGATCATCTGCCCAAAGGGAGGAATGCTCTACCTGCAAGGTTGGTGGTGATTCTGTGAACTTCTCCATTATATCTCCTTGAAGCAGGTGGGACTGAGTAGAAGTGAGTACCAATACCGGTGATCAACAGGCAGTCAGTAGTTTTGTTCTGTAATCAGAGAAGCAGTATCATGAGCAAGTAGCCAAAGCTGTCAGATATCAAGAAGTATCCAGGAGATGCTGATAGCTGAGTTGGAGAGATATCAAAAGTTGTTGTCCACTACTCCGTATTGCCTCTTCTTCATGGATGATGTCGATGTTCTGCACATTCAGAAAAATAAATGACCTTAGAACACATAAAGAATTTGGAATTAAGAAGATAAATAAAAGAATCACAGTAGATTTTTCTCCCTTCCCCTTACTTGTAATAAAAGGGAAATTTGCCCTCAGAATAAGTCTTTGGTTCTAAAGTACGTTTTCTTCATCAGAGATAATCAGATGATTTTACAGTCCAAAGTGATCTTAGAGATCATCCAGACCAAACTCCTAACTTCACAGATGAGAAAGCAGAGACCTGGAAAAGTAAAGATGCTTGTCCAAGGTCACGCAGCTAGTAAATATCAGAGATGGCATGCTCATCAAGGCTGCTCTCCAAAACAGCACATCCTCCAGGACCACAAATGTGTAATTTGTATATGCTGCTTGGGCATGATGGTTGTCCATGCCCTTTGTTACTCAAAATGTGATCAGGGGACCAGCAACATTGGCATTACCAGGAAGGGTATTAGAAACGTACTCTCAGGCCCCACAGCAGACTTACTGGATCAGAATCTGCACTTAAACAAGACTCTCCAGGTGATTCATCTGTGCATTAAAGTTTGAGAAGCAAACTCCAGAGATCACTCAGCATGAATTGGAACAATCACTGGTTGGGTTTGATCCTCAGTGCCCCAAGCCTAGCCTGCATTGCTGTGGAGATCTGATTGCTGTGATGGTAGTTAATCCATGTTTTCGGGCTTCCTAGTCCCTGTCTGAGGTCATATTTGGTTACCATGGATATGATTAAGATACCACAGGCAAGATAAAGAGATGAGATTGAGAACCTAGCAAACAAGAACAAAATACCCTTTGAAGTATAAACATCAGAATGTTCAGCAGACCTCCCTACGCTGATAACAAGAATAAAGCAGCCAGTAAAATTTAAAAACAAACCCCAAACATATGGCATATCAGTTGAACTATTCAGAAGTGCAATTCCTCTCACTGCCCTTTCCTTGTGTAGCTTGCTATTTAAATTTATTTAAATTGGCCACTGGTGGGTAAAACAAAATATGTATCATTGAATCTTTTAAAATGTAAGATTCAGTTCCATAGATTTTATCTAATGGCTCATCGTCTCTGAACAGATGGAAGAAATTATTGGGAGACAGAGACGTGTAAGATTGGGGTCCAAAAGTTCTTATCCAAATACCAGCATTAATCAGTTGGATGACCCTGAATAACTCATTTGGGTCTACATTTCATTTATCTAAAGGGTTTGACTGTCTTATCTACCTCAGAGGGTTGTTGTATCATTGAGATAAGAAATAGGTGATCTGAGAAGCAAAAAAAGAGAGAATTGCTTCCAAAATTTCTCCAGTGGAGCTGAATACCAATGGTGAGACTGTACCCTCACCTCATATTATCAAATTAGGGAGATATTGTCATATCCTCCCTCCTTCTTTCTTTTCCATAGCTCCCGCTTCCAGTCTCCTGATCTACCTTCCACACGTCTTCCATACCCCAGATGCATATTCATGAGTTCATCCCTGCCAATCCAGCTAGGTGCCAGCTGATAGCTAAGGTGTTAGTTAACAGGAGTTAAGGACTGCCCTTATTTGGGGCATTTACCTGACTGTGCACAAGAATCATCTAGGTTCCATTCTCTAGAAATTCTAATTCATCTGGGAGTGGAGCTCAGGAATCTGTATTTTGACAAGCTCCCCCAGGTGATTTCTGATTCAGGTGGTCCCTGTGAGAAAAGCTGTTCAGATGGACCTCAAGGAATAAAGCCATATTAGTAGCATCATAGAGAAGTAGGGATGAGGAGGGCATACCTGGAGGGAGGAGGCTGCCTTTTAAATCACATAGAATAGTGATAGCCTATTCTACCTACCCATAATGACCACAAAGGGCCCGCACAGTCCATCACACCTGCTCATCTCTCCCAGGCAGTAGAGGTCAAGAGTTAAGCACAAAGGTCCCAGAGTCAAACTGTCCTGGGTCCAAATCCTGGTTGGACCAAAAGCTGTGTGACTCTAGGCAAGTTATTTAACCTCTCAGCATCAGTTTCTAACTTTAAAACAGACATGATTATAATACTATCTCATAGTGTTATGTCAAGCATAACAATGACTGTGAGGATGGCCAGGACTGGGCAGTGTTTTGTTCTGTTGTATATAGGGTTGCTATGAGTCGGAACCGACTCGATGGCACCTAACAACAACAACATAGTGTTATCAGAATTAAACAAGAAGAAAAGAGCTTAGCACAGCTCCATGCAGATGGCAAATGCTCCATAAATGTTAAAAAAAAACAAAAAACAAACCATTGCCATCAAGACGATTCTGATTCAAAGCAACCCTATAGGACAGAGTAGAACTGCCCCATAGGGTTTCCAAGTTTATAATCTTTATGGAAGCAGACTGCCATTTCTTTCTCCTGCGGAGCCACTGTGAGTTCAAACCTCCAACCTTTCGGTTAGAAGCTGAGTGCTTTAACCACTGTGTCAACAGGGCTTCTTTCCATATATATCAGCTACCATTATTCTAGGTCCACAGTCTGTGATCTGACTGCGTTTTAAAATTCAGAGTTTAAATGATTTTTGGATTTTAGAAAGGTAATATGGAGTAAGTACTGTTTGTTACAGGACCCCCAGCAGCATCTGGGTCATCATCCCATAATTAACCAGTTGTCATCTAGTCAATTCCGACTCATGGTGACCCCATGCGTGTGAGGATAGAACTGCACTCCGTAGATTTTGATGTCTGATTTTTCAGAAGTAGCTCACCAGGTCTTTCTTCTGAGGTGCCTCTGGGAGGACTCTCACCCTTTCAGTTAGCAGGGGAGCATATTAACCACTTGTACCACCCGAGGACTCTTACCCCATAATTAAGTCATTAATATCTCTGCAGGAAAAAATATGTGAATATTCATGCTAAAAAGGATAAGAACTAAATTCATGTCAGTTCAGGTCATGTTTTGCGGCCAAATGAGTTTTAGCACTAAATTAATGAAAAAAATAGCTTCCATTTTACAGAGTTTTCTTGATTTAAGAATTAAAAATAAGGGATTGTGGACCTGTACCAAACTATTCTTTTGACTAGAAGGGTGGATTTATAACTTTTCATTCCTTGCCCCTGCCTTCTGCCCTTTCCTTCTACCCTCAGAAGTTCCAGAATCTCTGTAGAGGTCTCCTGCCTCTTTACAGAATTATGTATTCAAGGTGGCACAGCATTTAATTTTCCTAATTGTGCAGCACTGGTGAAACATTTGCTAAAATTATAAGCATTAACCCAAATGCAAGTCATACAGCAGCACTGTTGTCAATGGCAATTGCTTAATCCCTCAAAGAAAACCTACCTAGCCCTACCATTTTCGAATTTGCTCTCCTTTTAGAGGTTAATGGCCCTCTGTTGGAATGCCCAAGAGAATCCTGGGGTTGACCCTACCAGACTGGAGAAGTTCCAGACCACAGCCTTGAGGAGATGAAGCAAAGGCAGAGGCAGGAATCTTAAATGCACAGGCTGGTGAATCAGACCAGTGAGCTTGGACCAGGTCTGACACAAAATTGCCTATGTTTAAGCTTTTACTTAACTGGTATATGTTTCAACTACAAAACAACAACAACAACAAAATGGGCGCAGTAAAGTACTGCAGGCCACGGGTAACAGTTCCTCCGGACATAAAACCACTCTACTCTCGAGTCCCCTGAGGCACCATTTAGAGAAGACCCTGTAGTACCCTGCTGTGCGTAAGAGAGATTTGTGACCCTACACTGCTTTATTTCAAACTGTCCTCCAAAACCCATTGGAGGAGATTTGACCTAGGGTCATGCAACGACCCAGACCAGTTACACTCTCACACATGAACTCCAGACCTTCCAAGGAGTTCTGTGGCCACGGGAGCTAAATTGAGACATAAATAACCCTTGAGGGGTGACCAAAGATCCATACTGTTTGGACTTATCTGGAGACCTGGTTGTGATCCTAGATTTGCCACCATCTAGACTGACAACCTTGGACAAGTCACTTCCTCAATGTGGACCTTGGTTTCATTATATATACAATGAAGCAATTGCGTTTCTCAAACTTTAGCACACATAAGAAATTCTGATTCAGTAGGGTTGGCAGGGGGCCCAGGAATCTGAATTTTTCACAGGCACCCCAGGTAATTGTGATGTAAGAATTATGCAGATTTTACCCTGTGAATACGGTGTGACTGCCCACACAGAATTCTGAAGAGCTCGGACATTTATCAGAGGTTTTCAGATTTCAGGGTACATCAGAATCCCCTTGGAGTTTTACATGAGGATTCACAGGTCTCACCCTTAGGGAGTATGATTCAGTGGGTCTGGGATGAGAGCAGATAATCTGCGTTTTAATCAAGCTCTGAAGATGATTTTGATGCAGGAGTTTCCCCGACAATACTTTTGAGAAACTCCAGGTTGAATACTCTCAAAAGGCCCTTTTAGTTTCAAAATCATCTACATTTTTGAAACTAGAAAACATGTGGCCCCCAAAACAGCTCCTGAAGAGGCATGATATACAGACTGCTTCCTTCTAAGATTCTGCCTGAGGCTCCATGGTCCCCTCCATACAGCGGGCTATGTGCAAGCCTGGCTCAGGCATGTGACATGTAGCTGACTTGGGGACAAGAGAGAGGGTGACAGTTGTGCTGACCCTGCTCTCGGGGCTCTGTGGTCCCTGCTGGCAGGTGTGCACAGTTCTTCCCTGCTCTGCCTGTGACTAAGGTAGAAAAATCAACCCCATAGCCAAGCTGGAGCAGCCCAAATGAGATCAATTTGACTACAGCTATGCCTGAGATCTCAT